CCTCTGGTAATCTATTATTAGAGAAGCATGCTAAGTTTGAAAATTTTAATAAAATCAAATGGTTAGCAAAGGCTTGATAAATCCATTTTCTACAAATTATGAAACGGGAAGCCACACCTGCAAGTGACAAGACTTTTATATAAAGTCACCCTCTGGTAGAATGGAAAACGATAATCGTAACTTGTAGGCGTTCTTCTTCTTTGATTTTATCTTTTCCTGTTACTCAGGGCGCAGATAATATAATACTGGAGGGTCAGCTTTGCCAATCATGTGGTGTCATTTATTCCTGTTATACACGTCTTCTTCCACAAGATTCAATTGTTACATATATATATATATATATATATATATATAATTTTATATTTGTGATATAAATAAAATTAAAGGAACCTTTATATTACAAACTCTTTTGTAGTTTGTGTATTTAAACGGTTTTATTTTACTTTGTTCTTTTTTATTGTTCATTATTATCTTATATATAAAATTCTCGTGTCGCGGTGTTTATTACCAAACTCCTCTGAAACGGCTTCACCGATTTTTATGAAATTTTGTGTGCATATTGGGTAGGTCTGAGAATCGGCCAATATCTATTTTTCATACCCCTCAATGATAAGGGTGACCCTCCCCAAAAAAAAAATTTATTAATTTTTTGTCATATTTTTCCATTTTTATTTTATTATGATTTAGCATTGAAAAATACATACAACCTCAAATTTTCACCGTTTTACGATCAACTCGCGATTTTTATATGCCGCAATAGGGTTGCAAGATGGCAATCCAATATAATAATTGTAGTAGGATAAATTTTCATGTATAGTTCTAGAAATAATGTATATGGTAAAACAACGTTTGCCGAGTCAGCTAGTTATAAATATATTATTGTTTTTATATTTTACAGGTTTTGGTGATGTTTTAAAAGGGTCGCTGCTACCTATCTCTCGACCATTAAATTCTTTTAGTCACCTCTTATGACACCAGCGGGAAAGAAAAGGGTAGCCCGTTCTATGCCGGGACCAAATGGAAAGAAAAAATATAAGTAGTTCGAATACTCTATTATTGGGATATTGCTCTCAATAGAAATCAAAATAATATTTTTAAGGAATTTTGTCTGTCCGTTTGTTGCGGGATTATGTAAAAACTACTGCACCAAAGTGGATTATTAGTTTTATTTTGATACGCCATCTAAAATTAATTTGTTGAAAATCAAATCGAATTGCCAGTAGTTGCCACGCTTGGCAGACGGATTGGCAACCGCAGTCAAGCTTTAAAGATGTTTTAAAAGGGACGCTGTTGCCCATCCCTCGTTCTCCCTTAGTTACCTCTTACGACACCCACGGGAAAGGAAAATATGGCTTTTTATATGCCGAGACTACACGGCACAGAAGTAAGTCTATAATAAATAAAATTCTCAAATGTAAAAAAAAATTCTAAAAGATCTATAGTATAGGTCATTTTTGGTCTACGGTTTTAAGGATATTTTCTTAATGATATCTCTGCTTAACGTTTTTTTTTTTTAACTTTTTTCTATTCGATAAGAAATATCCCCTTCGCTCTTATCAAGGCACGTTAAGCTCTTGCTCTCGACTACTATCATTAAGGTGCAGTCGAGAGACGTCGGCCACGTGACAAATGCTTTTTAAAAATATTATCATCCAGGTGAAATCTTGGAAATAAATGAAGGGATTAATATATATTATTATTACTATACTTATACATTTATTTATTTATATATGTAAATTTTAGTATTTTTATTTATTTATTCATTAGTATAAATATGTGTACATGGCGGACTTAATGCTAAAAGCATTCACTCCCGGTCAACCATAGGGAAGTGTATGAAGAATACTCGAGTGCAGTACTACTAATTATTGATATACATACATACTAAAATTACATATATAAACGAATAAATGTATATAAATAACAAATATACTTAGATATATATGACATATACTATATTATACACGAAATTAAGAATAATATAAATTATATAATTGTTAAGAGAGGGACTGGCTGAAAACCAGCGCTGTGCAGCTGTTCACATTGCGCTGGGACACTCACAGCATCAGCTGAGCCGGTTCCTTTTGCCTAGTATGGGACACTTTTTGTATATGGTATGTTATCTATATTTCATATTGTAATTGTGTGTTTACTGGCAATAAATGTTTTCTATTCTATTCTATTCTTTAATCATTACTAGTACCGCATTCGAGTATTCTGACACTTCCTTAAGGTTCAATAGGAGAGAATGCTTTCAGCATTAAGTCAACCATGTACACATACATGTATTAACGATTAAATAAATAAATAAAAATTAATATATTGAAATCCGAGTGCGTTTTACCATAAACTTAAACGAGATGGTTGCAAATATGGCACGCATGTAATGTCGACTCAAACAACCTCTCACTAGAGCAAGGTTAGATCCTTATCTGCCACCTATGTGGGATTACAGTGAGCATAATTTCTTGTACTAGTTAGTAACCCGTGGGTTCTAACTAGTACACGGGTGGGTGGGGTTCATGTATTTACAAAAGTATTTAAGTGGTTCTATCAATAAAATTAAAAAATAAAAAGCTATATAAAATTAAATGTTTAAACTACTCAATTTAGGTACGTATGTTATGTTGAAAACATACCGTACGCTTAAGACAAAGTAAATAAAAAAAATATTATATATAGAAAAAGCGATAAATCTTACTCGAAATAGATAGATAGATAGATATATCGTTTATTTGTTTGTTACTAATCACACACAACATGTACATAAGAATAGATAATACATAAAATAACATAAGATCTATAAAATTGTGTTATTATGTGTGATCTGCAGCAATACAAAAAGGTCGAAGCTCAGCGTGGAACATTGTTCGAGGAACAAAACACTGATTTTCAGCTTTAACCCATTTGAGGGTACGTGAAAATAATAATTAAAATATATATAAAATAAAAAGAGCAATATTTTTGGTGATTGTCTGTGCAGTGTGTGTATAATAAAAATAATGTAAATAGTTCAGAGTATAATTTGATATAATTTTAACTGAGTGGTAAGGATAAAGCGAAAAAAAAAAGAAATTATTAATAAGAGAAACATGGAAAAAAAATATAATAATATTATTAATACAGCTGTTAATATAGCTGAGGTGGGAAGGAAACCGCAGGTCTACTCTTGAATCCAATATCAATATTAATTTAATCTATTGCCAAGGGCAATTTTATACTGCACTCATGAAACAACAGGAATTAGGTTATAATTGGGATCGGTTTACAATAGTTTGCATTGGACTCTATACAACAAGACTCTATGGAACAATATACAATCATGTCGCTAGTATTGCAATTCGAGAGTGCAAAACGTCACCTAATGGAAAGTGGTAACCGTCGCCTATAGACATGAGCAGTACCATGGACATAACAGAGTATACTGTTTCGCCCATGATACCCCCCATGCGTTGCCATTTCTGAGGACTCAGGTGTTATTCCTCTGTACCCTGTAAATTCACGCCATATCCCACCATGCAAACCGAAACACAGCCATGCAAACACGACTGCTTGACGGTAGAAACATGAATGCGACAGAGGTGCCCAAGCAACTTTTGTACGAAGAAGTACAAAGAGATACAATAGTTAAGAAGTAATTAATAAATAAAATTATAAGTAAAAATAATAAATACTATATTTCATTAGATTTACCACAAAATGCATGCGATAAAAACCGGGTAAAAACTCAACTCGAGTTTTTTACTCGAGAATAATTTTTTTTTTCTACTGCAGATGTTCGTAGGCTGCGGTAACCGTTTATCACCATGCGAACCGCAGTATTTGTTTGCCATCTCAGCAGTTCAGAAACTTTTCGGTAAAATGGGTCAGGAGTGGACAATAGTGGTTCAAGTGACAGCGTTAAGAAAAACCTCCAAAGATTTGAATTCCTACATAGTAAATTGCGATTTTAACTCTTGCCTTATCAGGTCCATAGGCATTGCGGTTGGGTGAACGAGAAATCGCTTCTAGCTGTATCTATCAAGGAAACTTCGTCGCACGTACACGAATCGAAAACCAAGAGGCGCATAGTTGTATAATCAATGTGCTGAAGTCATGTAGGAATTATGAAGCGTATTATCACGGCCAACTCGAGAGATGTTAGTTTTTTTAAAAGGTTAATCATGGAATAGTAACTCGGTTGCGCTAATGGTATACACTGGCGGAGCAGTGAGGATGATAGGTGAGGATGAAGCAGGTCAGTTAGTCCATCGTGACAAATTCAATAATAAATTAATCACAATAGCTTCCAAGGAGAACCCGTGTAGGTCAACCTGATAGGGTATATTGCTAGTAATGGGGTTCACACGTTGTTCTTCCTGGAAACCATCGTGGTTAGCTCTAGTTGAATTCATCATGATGAGCTAACGGACCTGCTTTCATCCGTATCTGTCATTTCTCACTGGTACCATTTTATCTTCATCAATTAAAAATAATATAATGAATAGTTGAGCCTTAAAGTGCCAAGAGATAATTAACTTAATTTGTCACTTATGGTGTTAAAAGCAGTCTGTGTACTTGTATGATAATGGGTAAAAGACTTGGTCCTATTGATGGTTAAGCTGGTTTGAGAATTAAACAACTATTATCGATTTATAACAATTGGCAAGTATTAGACATTGATAATATTATAATTTTGAGAAATTTTAACTGCACCACCAAAAAAATTTCCTGCTCGCTCCAAGGTTGACTCTATTAGAAGATTCTATTAGAAGCCTTTAAATATTATGTATAATATGCATACCGTCATTTCAGCGCCATACCTATCTAGCATTTCCAAACTAGGTTTTCAAGGCGAGCGTCCAGGTCGGGAGCACGAATAGGGGGTTCGCGAGGCGGCAGCGGTGGCGGCGGCGGCGCGGCGCAGTGCGGCGCTATCGAGCGGGCGCCGGGCAGCTGGCGGCGCGGGTGGCGCGGGTGTCGCGGGTGGCGCGGGTGTCGCGGGCGGCGGGGAGGGCGCGGCGCGGGGGAGGCACGCGGCAGTGTGCTCGGAGCCCCCGGGAGCGCGGCATGGGTGGCGCGCTGCTGCTGGCGCTGCTGGCGGCGGCGCGGGCCGGCGAGCCCAACGCGACCGACGCGCTCAGCCCCTCGCCCTCCGGCGCCGAGCCCGAGGAGAAGCCCGCGCCGCTCTTCCCCACCGACCTGTTCACGGAGGAGCAGCGGCGGTCGGGCGCGGTGCTGCTTCACGTGCTCGGCATGGGCTACATGTTCGTCGCACTCGCGATCGTCTGCGACGAGTTCTTCGTGCCGTCGCTGGACGTGATCATCGAGCGGCTGGCGATCCGCGACGACGTGGCCGGCGCTACCTTCATGGCGGCGGGGGGCTCCGCGCCCGAGCTCTTCACCTCGGTCATCGGGGTGTTCGTGTCGTTCGACGACGTGGGCATAGGGACGATCGTGGGTTCCGCCGTGTTCAACATATTGTTCGTGATCGGTGCGTGCGCGCTGTTCTCCCGTACCACTCTGTCGCTGACGTGGTGGCCGCTGTTCCGTGACTGTACCTTTTACTCCATCAGCCTCCTAGTGCTGATATACTGTTTCCGCGACAGCGAGATCTACTGGCAGGAGGCGCTGGTGCTGTTCTCGCTGTACGGCGCGTACGTGATGTTCATGAGGTGGAACCAGCCAGTGGAGCGGGCGCTCAAGAAGCTCATCTACAAGAATAAGGTGACGCGCGTCCGAAGTACAGATCAGCTGATGCCGACGGTGAGCTCGCCCGCACAACCTTGCATGCTATGTGTACCTAATGTTTGACGCAGACTTGTACTGAGCGTACTACGTCTTTACTACGCCCCATGTTTTCGCTACTTTGCCTTAACAAAACACTCGAAGCAGTTTGAATTAAACAGTCTACTGTGAGAGTTGATATTGAAATATGGATAGGCAGATGTTTATATAAAATTTTAACCAATAATGTAGTGTACAGTTAGATGTGGACAAAATAGATAGGTAGAGGCCATTAGACTTAGTTCTGCATATTTCTTAAGGAACCTAACATGTAGATGTAATTAGAGTAGATATAACATAAATGGACGATTTCAAAAATTCTCTAGAATTTATCTCACCAGAATTCGTATATAAATTGTATACCCATCATGACGATGATTATAATCTCTATATAAGGCCATGATCTATAACTATGACACGTTGAACTTCGAACTTCCAAATCAATTGTTTTACCATGAATAGACACCCTTTTCTATTATCGGAGGTAAATACCTAGTTAAATATAGTTTTCAATTAAATAAAGACGTGTTTACATAAATTAGATTAATTTAAAAATAATATTTAAGACCTCAAGAACAGTAATTCTTTCTATTCTTTTGTATTTGACATCGTTCTGTTAAAAGTCATTTCCATTCTTACATAACATTTTCAAACTGTCTGCATTTTTCTATGTAAAAGTGACTGCTTTTATGTATACCACATATAATTTAGACCGATTTAAGGCAAATGTCTTCACTTTGCATCAGAAGATTTATTGATCATTTGCAGGACCCTTTAACAGTAAAAAACAAACGAAAGAACAACAATTAAAGCACAGAGGGAATTGAGCACGTCCCTCGTATCTTGTTTACAAATGTATGCAGTACTATAAAAAGAATTAAGTAAACACAATTTACAACTCTGTCACCAAGTTATTTAGATAGAAAGCAATCGTACGATATACAATACAAATTTATAATGGGCAATGGAGTAAAAAAGATTTAATGCAATTGTTAAAAGAAATTAATAGAATGCTAACTCTCTCTCTCTCTAAGATTTTAGCCCTAGTAATAAATGCAAAATAATCGCTACACTATTTAAAAGATGTCTCAGTCCGATAGAACTGGAAACTGAATCTGTACGAGCATTTATAAATGATTAAAACAATAAAATAAATGAATATTCATAGCTTTGTATAACTATTTATCATAGATCTGTGTCTAAAATATATGTATAAAATATATCAATATGGATAGGTTTTATGAAAAAATCTACCTGCAATTTAGTATAAAATTTTCAAACTCAATGAACTGGTTACATAAATTTCATTTTTTATTCAAAGTGACTGGAGACTGGTACTACTTATTTGCTCAGTGTATTTTTCATTTATATAAATCTATTTACTTAAAGTCTGACAGTATAAAATCTAATAAATTTAATAACAAAAAGTTTTTGACACAAATCGAAACATAATTATGAGAAAATACATAAGTAGTAGGAGTATTTATCCACAAAGGAAAAGGCAATAGAACTAAGTTATACACCCTGATATTAAAAAAAACATAGAAAATATAAAAAATGGACAATGTATCTTTTTAAGTTGTTGGATAATAAAGCAAAGTAAGATTCATCATTCAGTTAAACACATTGTTAACAACAAGTTTACCTATTTATCTAATATTCTCATGTTATTTATTACCTTTATATTAAGGCAGACAGATATTAGAGTGTCAAAGGCCTCTTTATATTATAATTTTGTATAATTCACTTTTGTCGCATATTTACATGAAATGTTTCAGGAAGGTTTCGTCCCACATTAATGAGGGATACAGTGGTGTAATGTTTTCATACTCATTATAACATTAATGTTGTAAAAAATACATATCTCTCTATCCCTCTCTCTCTCTCTCTCTCTCTTTCTATCTCTCCAGCATATCAAATTTAATTAAAGTATATACAAGTCTGCGTCAAAATTATAGATATCTAGAATATAGATACATAAATGTTGATATTTAGATACTAGGTACGAGTACCCCATTAGTCCATAGTGCATTTGTAGTGTTGGTCTAAACTAAACTGAATGTAATATTAAATTCGTATTCCTTGAATTAGTACTTGTCATTATTTTAACACTCGTTAATAGTTTCCCGCCATTTAACGTAGACTGTAGAACCATAGATAAAATAATTCGTTTTATTTTTTATGACAAAGACCTTAAAAAATTAAAGCTTTATTTACAAACCGAGATTGAGTTATTTGTAAAATGCACAAAAGTATTATCAAATAGTGCAGTGGCTTTTCGTTTCGAATTAATTTCAATTAAGTAATTCTTTTCACTAAATTAATCCTAAAATGTAATGTTACGAGTTATTTGAGGGCAAATTTTCCTCTAAGAATAAATAAGACATATTTTATGGCGACCCATTTTTAGGTAGGTGTGCGCATCGCGCTTTCTTCTTTTCACATAATAGGAAGGAGTGAGAGGTCACAATGCTATCTGCGGTATATATTGGAACAAAATGTTCTGAATATATACAATTGTGGGCCATTACGCGGTATAAAAGCTTTGATGTCATCGCAAGAATTAAGAAATGTCGTAGAAAGAGAATGCTATTCTTAATCTGTGAGAATGTAAATAAACCTTACCTTATAGATGTGAATAGGTATCCAGATTATTTTAAAATAAAAAGGAGAAGAGATAGAAAATTACAGTAAATTATTTTATAACTTTACTAAAGTTATAATGTAACATAAACATCCCATTGCTGGGCGCGAGTATCTCCCCGGAACAGGAGGGTAAAGCCTACTATTTCCGTGCTAACCGGGTAGTCTGGTTTTTATCTGGGTTTTGTCTTTATTATAATTTATTTTAAAAGTTCTTTCTCCAGGCAGTTTTTTTTTAATGATTTTCACTACACTTAATGAAATGAAATAACATATTTATTTGCTTTAAACAAACATTATCCCATAATAAAGGCCATGTGACAGATCTTTTTGGCATCTATTTAATTGCCTTAAAATAGTAGTCTTGCAAATTTAATGTATTAATTAAATAAGGATATAAGACTAATGCTCGTGATTATAAAGATTATAGAAAAAAAAAATAGATTAAAAAATAAACCTTTATAGAGGAAAGTTATACAGTTGCATAAATACTATTAGTGAGTATTGGCATAAGAATAACTATGTTAGGGTGTTAACGGCCCTCTTGTTTTTAAGATCCGAATCGACAAGGGCTTGCACGCAATAGACACAGTGAGTCATACGCACTCACACGTCACTCACTCGCACGTGTATCACGCTTAGAACAAGGAATCACACAGAAGGAATGATAAAATAAAAACTGAGAATCATATGGTTGCCTCCTTTCTTCTTATGCAAATATAATTAGTAAAAAGAGGACGAAAGACACGTCATCAGTTGCTATTTTTGCCAATTCATAGCAGGCTAGTGTATAGAAAATGTATACGGCCGTATAACCCTGCCAAATTCAGATACAACCTGCTTGCATACTTTCTACATAAACTGTGTCAAATATATAATCTAGTTATGTAAAATTTGTCATTGACAAATAATTGACATATAAAACATTTTCTATATACTTGTTGTATCTTTCGTCCTCTTTTTACTAATTATATTTGCATAAGTATAAAGGTGACAACCATATGATTTACAGCTTTTATTTTATCATTCCTTCTATATAATTCTTTGTTCTTAGGTAGGTATCACGTATGTGATGCGTCATATAGTAAAATTATTTGCTATTCATTTGTGACAACTGTCCCGACCTACGTAGTTTCTGAAGGGAAGAATGGTACATATTGCCGCCCTTTTCGCCTTGACAAAGGAATATACACAAATATCATTTCTACTAGGTCCATTTATTCCTATGGATTTTGATTTGAGATACGCGTTACGGGTAACATTATATTTACCGTTTCTTGTGCACATTGACGAATTGAAAGGGGCGCCCATCCCTGAATAGTCTGCTGTCCGCCGTAAGATACGAACGGTAAAGAAGTAAATAATACTAAAACTAAATTTAAAAAAGACCCAGACAGATATCGTGACAACTACGTGCGCATCAGAAATCTCTGCAATAAGATGTGTAGGGAGGCCCAACGTCGCCACATCCATAAATCTGTTGAGAATGGAGATCCAGCAAAAGTCTGGAAATTTCTTAAATCTTTAGGAGTTGGAAAAAAACACAATGAGAGTTCCACTAGTATTGATATTGAGAACCTTAATAGACATTTTTGTTCCTCTTCTATTGTTGTTCCTAATGACAAATTAAAAACACTGTATTATCTTTCTTCACTTCCAACTCCTGATTACACTCCTTTTGTTTTCGGACAATTGTCCGATTGTGATGTTGAGAGAAGCTTACTGTCAATATCTTCTAATGCTCTGGGTACTGACAACATCAGTCGTGCTATGATCATGCCTATCCTTGATATCCTGTTGCCAACTATTACTTTTCTCTTTAATAATTCATTGTCCTCAGGTATTTTTCCTCATATCTGGAAAGAAGCCTTTATTATCCCCCTACCTAAAAAAAATATCCCCACAGTTTTTTCCGATTATCGACCTATTCTTCTTCCCTTCCTTTCCAAAGCTCTGGAAAAGTTAGTACATCAGCAACTCAACTTGTTTCTGTCCTAAAATAACCTTCTTAATCCTCTGCAATCTGGTTTCCGCGCAGGTCACAGCACGACTACTGCTCTTGTAAAGATCTCTGATGATATCCGTTTCGGAATGGATAGCTCAGAGCTGACAGTTTTAACATTATTAGATTTCAGTAATGCTTTTAATACCGTCGATTTCGACATTTTGTTGCAACTGATGACTTCTCTCAACATATCTCCAACGGCAATTGAATGGTTTCGTAGTTACCTGGTTGGACGTCGGCAGCGTATTCGTATCAACGACTCTTTGTCATCTTGGTGCAGTACATCTGCGGACGTGCCCCAGGGTGGCGTCTTATCTCCTCTTTTATTTGC